AATAAAAACCGTGCATCATATATATATATATACGGAGCCCAGAATTAGGAGCCCAGGGTTTTGATCTAAGACTTGGCGCCTCAATCCCAAAACCACCCCCACACCCCCAGATCGCAAAGCCGACAAGCAATCCAGTCTACATCCAAATCCCCCAAAAAGAAATCGCTCAGGGTTTAGGGTTTAGGGTAGTCCCCAGACCCCCAAAAGCCCCGATCTCCCGAATCAGACAGGCCATCCAGTCTACAGAATTCGTGCATTTCGGGGAGGGCGCTGCAGCAGCTGCGCCGCGCGCCATTCGGGAGGATGGTGTCCCCGCACCTGTAGCACCCTGGTTGCAGGTTTTGGAGCTTTGGGTGTTCAGGGTTTCGGGTTTAGTGGTTCAGGGATTAGGGTTCAGGGTTCTAGGGGGGTATTGAGATCCGAAGTGGCATCCCGCACTCGTGCTCATTATCCTATATAAGCCTATATGGCATGGTAGTTTCCATTTTCTTTTCCAGTATCCCTTGATAACCCTATATACGATGGTAGTTTCCATTTTCTTTTCCATTATCCCTAGCCACACACACACACAGCAAGAATGCTCCTAACCTCATCCTTTGGCCAGCTCACCAAGGGTCGTGGGTTGCGGCTCCCAAGGTTTCAGGGTTTAGGGTTTTTGGTTTGTAGGGTTTAGCGATTAGGGTTTGGGGTTATTATGAATTGCAATCCCAGGAACACAAAAGGATATGAGGAGGAACTTCTCCAAACTAGCCCTATATGGGGACCCAGATGCGACTTTGGCAATCCCGTCACATCTCTGAGGTGTCTGAGGACCCCCCCTCGCCACACACACAATTTGGGGAAACCCTATGAAGTAGAAGTTGATAGGGTTTCGAGCGTGTAGGCTTTAGGCTGTAGGGATGTGATTATCTCGGGGTGGCCCTACCTTCAGGGCCTCAGATTTATAGGGAACCCTAATACGATACTATTAAGGGTATTTCGGCCCTAAAGCCCTATTATTTGGGTCCTTTGGACCCTCAGGGGAAGTTTCAGCTTTAGGTTCCCTAACCCCCTAAACTCTAAGCCCTAAACCCTAATTACAAATTCCGGGGTTTCAGGCGCAGGGATACCTCCATAAGCTACGGCTGGAAGGCCGGGGAGCAAGTTGACAACGCTAATCCTTGAAACCTCCCACCTCAACCCTATTCCGTAAAATGCCAAGTAACCTTAGGCCTAAAACAGTCATCTCGAAAACTTTCTACCTTCAACCAGGTAGCTGGTTGCTATCTCTTGCCAAGTGTTGGAATGCTGGGTTGGTGCTTTAACACCTAGAGAGCACCAGTCTCAAGAAGCTAAGGAGCTTTAATCCCAAAAGCCTTAAAACCCCAAGAATGATTCCCTGTATAAGAGCTCATATAGGGGATTATATATGGAAATACTATAGAGGTTATTAAGGGGGATACTCGGAGTTCAGACTATAGCTCACACGGTCTCCCTAGCTTGAGATAGAAGCTAAAAGGCTTCCATGCTGAAATTCCTCATACATCGTCTCCCCATGTTGCCATAGCTCCCTAAATCCAAATCAAGAAAGCCGACCCGGTGCTCCAAAACCCTAAAACCCTAAGCCTGCCCTAAGTCCTAAACCCCTTGAACCCTAAAAACCTCGACCTGCCTGAAATCCTAAGCCCTAAGATCCTAAACTGGGTCGCTGTTAAGGAGCTCAACCTAAGTTACCATACTGGGTATATATTGTAAATAACAGGGTTTCCCCAATATAACAACTTAAATTAAGTTCCTTAACAGCAACCCAGTCAAACCTCAAACCGCATCCAAGGAAATAGCACCAGCGCCCAAGCCGCCGGCACCTCTTCATAATTGTTTCGATGGTGTGACAAGTAGATGATGTGTGTTTATACATTATATACAGGGTTTAGGGTTTGGGGTTATATGGGGTCCCGAAAATTATGGCTACCATTGCGGGGTTCCCAGTAATGAGGATCATGGTACATTGGGGTCTATGTTGGGCCCCCGTTTATCAGATACGTGTCAGGGTTTAGGGTTTAGTATAATGTATGGTTTTGTTATTTTCTCATGTATAAAAACGTTCATGTGCGGACTTTCGATGATTGTTTGAAGATTTTCTGTGGTTGCGTAGGCTTTCAACGCAGACACTGATGAGCATAAGATAACTTTTCTTCTTGGCAGACCCTCAGTCAACCCTAGACCATAAACCGTATAATTAGTAGGGTTTAGGAGAAGCTACCACCTGAAAAACAAAGCTCGTTTTCTGGGTTCTGGCAATTACACCCGTTTGCCTGCAGTTTTGTGGGTTGTTTTCCCAGTCCTTACGTGGTTGCGACTGGGAAGCTCTGGCTAGTTAACCCTAAACCCTAACCCCAAATTACAGTTGAAGCATTCATCCGGAAGTCCCCAGGGCAGGGCCCCAAATACAGAATCTCTTTAGGGTTTGGGGTGTAGGGATTAAGGTTTAGGAATGAGGTTTTTTGGTCTAGGGTGCAGGTCTTGGGCTTTAGGGTTAGGGTCTAGGGTTGCCCTATGCCCCAAGCATCCAAACTCTAGCTTCTTCTTAGCCAAGATGGAGGCTGATAAAGGACACTATAAGACTAGCGTGTCTGAGAGGGGGGGTTAGCTTGCAAACCACAAGCTCTTAGGGTTTAGGGTCTAGGGAACCACAAGCTCCTCAGATCCCAAACCTTAGAGCCTACAACATACACCTTTACATCCCGTACGTTACACTCTGTACCCTGTACCCTTGCCCTCTACTCTGTAGCGCCTATCACAAGGAAAAGGAGAAGCCTCCGGAAGAAAGCGACAAGAAAATCGAAGGAAAAGTTCGGGAATGGAATGCAGAGCCGCCTGGAGGTTTTAGGGTTTAGGGTTTTCTAGGGTCTTGGTTGGCTATGGCTTCGCAGTATCGCATGAGATTCAGTTTCCGGTTCATGTAAACTTCTGGGACTTGGGCTTGTCGAGTTTGGTTTAGATGTTATGTCGACGTAGTGCCAGTTTGGGGACGCCCGCGTTCAAAACTTTCTCTTGCGGGTTTACGAAACCCTGACGCTCCAAGTACCTGGCAAACATATGTTTACCCAAAACCTGCATTATGCTTATTACTATCACGCAAATCCCACGTGCCTTGTTATTGGATACTGACACCCTCTGGGTTGAGGCTTCTGATTTCTGCAACCCCTAAACCCTAGATAGCAGCTTCCATTTTGTTTTCCATTATCCCTATATAACCCCTATATATATATATATACACCCTATAATCCCAATATAACCCCAATATATACCCTACAATCGCAATATAACCCCAATGTATACCCTATAATCCTAATAAAACAGTAGTTTCCATTGTCTTTTCCATTATCCCTATAAGCTCCATGGCAACCCCCAAGCCACAGAGCCCCCCAATGACACAGGGAAACCCTAAGCCCCTAAACCCTCAACCCCAAGCTATACAGGGTTTAGGGTTTAGGGCAGACGTGAAAGAAGACCTGCAGGCGAATACTTCAGGTGTGCTTCAGAATATAGGCCTCTGAATCGTGGTTGTCATCCTAAACCCTAAACCCACGAAACCTCAAATCCGAAAGCCTGCAGACCAATACCTTAAACAGACCCTAAACCCAAGCTCTAAACCCTAAACCCTAAACCCCTATAGACCCTAAACAGACATCATCCAAGGAAAGGCTTCGGCTTCATCATTCCCCTTGTGCGGGAGGACGAAGAGGCTCCAAAAAGCATCTTCGTTCACTTGTGGCCCCTTGGTCTTTAGGGTTTAGGGTTTAGGGTTTAGGAGTTAGGGTTTAGGGTTTAGGGTTTAGGGCTTCACCGTCATAGGGGGTTAATTAAAGGTTAGGGGTGTTTGGGGAAAGAGCAAATCATTATGGACCATACCATGATCCGTATATAACCTGGTCCTGATATACTCGGTACCCATACGGGACCCTAAGTTTCGGGGTTTAAGTGTGTCTGGGTCGGTCACTTTCTCCCTCTCCGAGAAACCCAAAACCCAAACTTCTTTAAACTCCACTCCCTGAACCCCATATGATTTGCCTAAACCCAAGGTATGCAGGTAGAGCAGTAATATACAGCTTATTCAATACGATGCTGGCGCCATGATTCAACCTCTAAGCCGCAAGCCCTTATTCCGGAGTTTACTACCATCCTGATCCCTGTTCCCATTTCTAAAACTCCCACCCAAAGCGGTTTAGGGTTTAGGGTTAGCCCAAGTCCATAAACCCAGACCCACGCAGCACTTCTGTGAGGAATGTAGTGGGCAGCACCAGCAAGAATCCCATCAACCTCAGAGAGGGCGCGAAAGTCCTGTACAAGCTGGGGGAAGCTTGCCTGGCCTTAGAGGGTATTTTAGGGGTTTAGGGTTTATAGGAATTGTATAGGGTTCAGGGGAATCCTTCTTCTCATGTTTTACAAGAGGGAGGATTCCCGACCGAAAAAAGTTTTTTCTTTTGACTTTGCTCCAGAAGGCCAAAACACCTCTTCCAGGGATTCCCGGTGAGAAGGCCAAAACACCTCTTCCAGGGATTCCCGGTGAAAATAGTGGCTTCTGGGCCTCTTCCCAGCCTTTTCTGGCTCTTCTGGGCCTTTTCTAGGCTTCTGGACCTCTTCCCAGCCTTTTCCGGGCCTCGGGGCTGCTCGCCCAACCTGCTCGCTTTCCTCTTCTGACGTGGTTCCATGCGATTCAAGAATTCCGAAATTTGTTCTAAAAGGCCCAAAAAAAGCTCACTTGCTGAATGTTTATTGCTGTAAAACCTGTCATGCTCGCTTTCCTCTTCTGACGTGTCTCCATGCGCTTCAAGAATTCCGAAATTTGCTTTGAAAGGCCCAAAGCTCACTTGCAGAGTGTTTGTTGCTGAGAAACCTGTCNNNGCGTGAATACAATTTCTGTTTACCCTGCTTGAGGGTTTAGGGTTTAGGGTTTAGGGTTGGGGTGGAGTGGGGTATTCTATCTCTATACGAATCCCAATGTTATCCTCTATAACCTATGACGGACCCCGTGGCTTGTTTGAGGTGCAAGGTGCAGAATCGAGGGATGTTAGTTGAGGTTGCTTGATTCAGAAATCGGGGTTGGGCACGATGTTCTATACGGATATGTAATTTTGGTTTGTAAGGCTCAGCCGTAGCCCTCCGATCGCATGTCAATACCTACAAGAAGGATTTTTTCTTGTATCAAATGGCGTAGCAAACAGGCTCCGGGGGAGAAGGGCTTCCGATTGCGAGAGCATCCATGTCCAAGCCTTTCTGCGAAGCTCTATGCTTCAGAGGGATTAAGGGGGTTTCCATCGGCAGGGCCGCAATATAGACCCCATTCTACTGCAACCCTTGCTTCAGGAACTCATGAGAATGGGCTCAACATAGTTTTCAGAAATCCCCGTCGCTCAAACCAAAACCACTACCAAACAAAGCTTCTTGAAGCGCGCACGTCCAAACTCCGAAGCCAAAAAGGCTGACCACGTCTTGTGTCTTGGGCGAGGACATTCCTGAATTGATGTAAATCGCCATCACTGAGCCCTAAACTCCTCAGCCCCAAGACCCTATAGTCCCCCTTACGTAGATAGGATGTGGCTTTGGGTATATCATAATAAGATCCCCATATACCCCTTCTATCTACTTAAGGGGGACTATAATCCCTAAACTACGCGCCCACACGACACATGCGCGATTGCGACATGCTGTTTCTGCCTCGCTTGCCCGGTCGGGTCCTGCGCTCTCTAGTAAGCATCAAGTAGGGCTGAAGGTTGAAATTCCCTGACCAAGGGGTAGGTATGATCCTTTATGTACATTGTCAAACCTTAGCGTGGCAATCGGAGCCTTTAGAAACCAGAACCCTCAATTGCAATTTGCAAGCTTTTGAACACCCTTGAGTTGCTCGACACCCGACAGAACCGGGCTCATGCGTCGTTTCAGGCAAGATTGGTGTTTTTCCCGGGGCCCCTGGAAAAGTGTACCCTGGACATCCGATAGCCTCAGAGGCCATCAAAGAGGAAGTTTCATGCGGTCAAAGGCCCTGAGATGTGGGGTGTTTAAAAACCCAAGGTCTTGATTATTGGGTATTGGATTTTTGGGTGTCGAGGGATAGGGATAAACCCTAAACCCTAAACCCTAGACCTAGACCCTAAACGCTAAACCCCTAAACCCTACACCCTAAACCCGCTTGAGGGGATGTAGGGATTTTTGGGAGAGGCTTCCTACAACCTGATACAGGAGCATGCTCGTTCTTGAATAGCATGTTTAAGGTTGAGGGTTTGGGGTTTAAGGTTCAGGATTTACAGTTCAGGGCTTAGGGATTTAGGTTTAGGATCTAGGGTTTAGGCTTAGGATTCAGGTGAATGGCAAGTTGCATTTGAAGCATACCCAAATTCAAAGCAAATCTAGCTTGAACATGATGATTTGCAATGGAGCTGTGCCAAGATATTCTGTACCCTATACATCTCCAGACATCCCTCCATACATATATATATATATATGTGTGTGTGTGTGTCCCTAAAAGCCCAAAAGCCCTCTGAAGGGATAAGTACTTAGGCCTAAGAAGCCCTGGACTTCTGCAAGCCCCCATGAGCTCAGGAACAGGATGGCAAACCTCGAGCGCAAGATGTGGTGATGCTCGGGAAGGACCTGGATTTCATATAGCTATAGTGTTTAGTTTAGGGTTTAGGGTTTATGCTTGGGCTAGATTGAGTTCATAGAGCTCTAACATTTAGAGCTTAGGGTTTCTGCTTGGGCTAGGTTTGATGTAGTATTTTTTAGCTGCAAGCCTTAGCTGAGTGAGGGTTGCATTCTCGCAGCTTAATCTCTGTTTTTTGGGGAAATCCCCAAAAAAACAACTTGGCTTACCTTTTTCCTGGTTACGATGCAGTTCAAAGGCTTCAGGCTTGTACCCCGAGGGTTGTACCCCTCCCCGGGCTTTGGGATCAAAAGGGGCCTTGGGGATTATATTGCTCATACAAGGGCTGTATTAGGGCCATGTTGGGTAAACCTTTCCGGGCAGGAACCCTTGAGCACTCTGAAAAGACCATTCCCCACAAAGATGCAAACAATTGCAGGGATGAGCCTCACCGGATCGATTATCATGTTGCGGAGGCAGAATAGTTTATGAATACTATGGTCCCAGATTCCTTGTATACTTGAGTAGGGTGTCTCAACTAGCAACTAGACTAACTAGACTTCAAAATTGTATTGGTAGTCATTCAGGTTCTACATTACACGATCCCCTATATGAACCCAGTTGCCATTTGTGTTTTCATTCCATTAGGCTTGATTCCCTGCTACTGGTGACTAAACCCTAAACCTTCAATTCTGGTTTCAGATGCCGCTCCTTGGGGTGATGGCTTCATGGGTCAGACAAAGTCTTTGTTTTCAGGCTTTACGATTTTAGGATTTAGGGTTTTGGGACTTTAGGCTTCAAGGTTTACTTCCTTTGCAAGGCTGTGTACTGTGCAGGCAATTGGTCGTGAATTGTTTTTTGCACATGCTGACTCCCTTGAATTTGTCTTCTGCAGGTCATGCTTTATCCTCTCAGTGTACTTACTTTGGCACCGGCATATGTCCATCACGCCCTACACGCTAAACCCCAAATCCTAAACCCTGAACCCTAGGCCCTAAACCCTAAATCCTAAACCCTAAACCCTAACCCCGAAACATGGAGACCTTGAGGGTCGCGGCCTTGGATTTCCAAGCACAAAAACCTTCAAAGCCCTGAATGTAGTTCCTAAACCTCAAGGGTCCAAGGAACCAAACAATAGGGCCCCTTTGTAGGGGTTCTAGGCGGATATATAGGGATATGTGGGGACTATACAAGGGTCCAGGAACCCGAATAATAGGGCTCTAGGGCCCAAATACCATGAACAGTAAAGTATTTGGGCCCTAAAACCCCATCATTTGAGTCCTTGAACCCTTAGGGATACTCCCTGCAACCCTAAAAACAAACCCTACACCCTATCATACTCCCTGCAACCCCTTTGAAGGGACCCTAAACCCTAAACCCTAGCCTAGCCTAATACAACCCAAAAAGCCATTGATGACCTGTTCCAGTTTTGTAGCCCGGCTGGCATGAAGCAGGGATCCCGATAGGGTTTAGGCTTTAGGGTTTAGGTTTTAGGCTTTAAGGTTTAGGCTTGTTTGCATTCCAACAGGATGGTCAGCCCCTTCCCGTGCACGCGGGAGCGCAAAATCTGGAGGCCAGTTGAGCTCGCGGGGCTTTTGAACATGTAGGGTGTAGGGTTTATGGGTTTAGATTTGAGGGTTTAGGGCTTCAGGGTTCAGGGTTTAGGGTTGGGCGTTTAGGTTTCGGGATTTAGGAGCTTGGGGTTCCGGGTTCAGGGCTCAGAGAGCTGTTGAACAATGTCATCATGAGAATCAGAATACTAGCAGGTATAGCTCTAGTTATGCTAGGGTTTAGGGTTTAGGGGTCCTGTAGTTTCCTTATGAGTTCTGATTCTGCTTAGTTTATATCATAGTATAAACCTAAGGACTGATTAAACATAGTATTCTTAGTATAGGTCTAAGGAGACTAACAGAGTCATAGTGGCAGTGATAGTAATAGCATTTGTAGAGGTACGAGTATTAGTCAGGTATAGTGCTAGCTATACTAAAGTCATAGCAGGCTAAATAGTTGGACTGGTTTAGGGGGTTGGGTTTGGGGTGTTTAGGGCCAGAAGGCTCAGGGATCAAGCAACTTCAGGGTTTGGGCCCTCAGTGCTTGAATCAGGGTTGTGGGGTAGGTTTAGGGAATGTCATGCAGAGCAGAATGCCTGGGTTTGGAGTCCATGAGACTTAGTACATATAATGTGGGTTGGTTACCTGTACCTCCAACCTGTGGGAGTACATATAGGGTTTAGGGTTTATCTATATACATATATACACTCCTACGATCCTTTAAAAGGTTCATTTGTTTAGGCGAGGGACATTCCACGCTCTTGAACGATGGGAAGAACTTCTCTTGAAACCTTACTGCAGGGCTTCTTGGACATGGAGCGCTTGATTAGGTAATGTTATCGACATTGCAATGGTTAATACTTTGCTTGTCAGAGTCTTTCCTGCCAGTATTACTAGTTTGAATCAACATCTTGAATCCTAACATTCTTACTAGTAACTAGTACTTTATGGGTATAGTTTCTGTATTGGTACATTTTGGTTGAAGCGCGGGTGTGTTGTAGCAAGCCAAGGAGAAGAGAAAGAGCTATTTTGTGACGGCCGAGACACTGCGAGCATCCTGTCCGAATCATTTCCATCAAGGGATGCAGCTTAGGGTCTGAGATGGTCTTGGGTTTAGGGTTTAGGGTTTAGGATTTGGGGGCTGGCCTAACCCCTAAACCCAGGGTTTTTGGAGTTTGAGGTAAGGGCTTAAAGGTTTGAGGGGCTATGTAGGTTTCGCATTGAGGCGGCGACATGTTTCCAGTGGACATGTTGTTCACTTCACCCCAAAGACTAAACCCGTAAACCCTAAACCTTAAACCCCGAAACCCTAAACCAAAATGCAGACTCCTTTGTCCTTCTGGAAATTGTGCGCCGGGTGCTCCTTCAGCTTCCACATCTTCAATTCACACTTTAAAGTTTAGGGTTTGGGGTCCTGGGCTATGGTTGGCAATCAAGTTTGCTTTGGTATCGTAAACCCAATTAGAAGTGTGAAGCTAGGTTTGTCAGGGTATTACCCCTTGACAAGGAGACCATCAACTGAAAACGCGAAAGCCCAAACTCGTTGTCATGATCCCAGTGTTCACTCGGACTTTAAGAGTCTACTTCCCATTGGTTACTGTATGTGCTTTGAGATCATTCCAAACAAGCCGACACGAGGGTTTAGGGTTAGGGTTTAGGGTTCTAATTTGTACTTGTTTTGTGTTCGAGCTCTAGATTGTAGTTCCAGCATCAACCGAAAGCACCATACCTTGGTCACTAAGCTTAGGGAGTGGAGTCTGGCGGGTTCTTACGCGCTCCCGCTTGTCTCCCTCGTCCCCCGAACAAAGGATCCTATCCTGTCACGGTATTTGTCTAAGCCTATATTGGATGTCAGTTACGAAAGGAAGACTGGGTCATCATGCTAGTTCCGACAGTATGTTTGCGTTATTCTCCATGCCTGCATTCCCTGCAAAGACTCTGCAAGATAACACCAAACCCAAGCCCTACATTCGCGTAGAAGCCCCCCAGTGGTCCACTTCAATTTCCTTTTCCGTTTAATCATCCGTTCCCTGGAACTTAAACCCTATAACCTAAGGCGAAACCATAAACCCTCAGCCCTCAAGCCTAAACGCTAAACCCAAAATGGACCTGGGCAAGCAAACCCCACACCTTCTTTTCATTATTCAAGCCCCCTAAACCCTATAAGCCCGAACTCCTAAAATCCCAAACTCTAAACCCTAACCCCCCCTAAACCCAAAATCCTAAACCCTAACCCCTAAACCCCGCCCCCCCTCCCTCCCGCCCCAAACAAAAAAACTAAACCTGAACCCTAAATCCAGGTTCGGGTCCACGGGGAGAGCTGGCCGGGCAAGCAGATCGAGTTGCAGGATCGCTTCGCTCAGGATGAGGAGCCGCCAAAGGACTTATTGAACCGTAAGGTTTTAGGGTTTTGTAGTGTTTAAGGGTTTAGGGTTTTATAGTGTTTAAGGGTTTAGGGTTTTAGGGTTTAGGATTTAGGGTTTTGGGTTTTAGTGTTTTAGGGTTTTGGGTTGTAAGGTTTAGGGTTTTGGGTTCAGGGTTTACGGTTGGGGTTAGGGTTTAGGGGAAGCATCATACAAAAGATGATCCTAATTTACTGTTGGTGTAGGGTTTAGGGTTCGGGATGTTCCAACTTGCTGTTCTACAACCCAAAAGGATCCTAAGGACCTATGTGGGGAATACTGAAACCCCAAAGCCTAAACCTTCAGCAATATGAATCATTCTTAGTATGGAAACTCTACTTCGTACCATATGAGCTGTAGTCTAAACTCCTAGTATCTCCCTAATCTCCGCTATCGTCGTCCCCTATATAACCCATTTCAAAGAGTTTAGACTATAGCTCATATAGATACTTGGGAGGATCCTTTGGGATAAGAAGTCTCCCGCCTGCTGGGTTTAGCGTTGATCGTTGTTAGTGCCTAGGGCTGCCAATTTCGGTTGGTATAGGGTTTAGGGTTTGAGAGTTTAGGGTTAGGGTTTAGGATGCCGACAAGCAGGACTGGACTTGTAATGAACTGATACAGAAAGATGTAGCGTCAATTCAGAATGATGCGTGGATGGAGGAAGTCTTGCACCACCCTACACGCATTCTACCCGACAGGAGTTTCAGTAGATTTGGGGTCTTACATGGTGCATGGCTTGCATCCAACCACAATAGTCGGGAAAGGTCAGTAGAAATCGTAGTGACATTTTTGTAGCTTAGTTAGGTCCACAGAAGTTAGCCTAGACCAAATCGGGAGATTGATTCGCGAAGGGGAACTAGGGATACATACAGGCTACCGCGTTTGTCACCGTTTGTCCGTAAGAGTTACGTAGGATTTTATGCTGGGGGTGCATAGGACGACCCGCAAAGACTAAACCAATGCGTTCGTATTCAATCCCCTCTAGTAATCCTTTCCCTGAGGGTCCAAGGACCCAAATAATAGGGTTTCAGGGCCCAAATACTACACTACTAATGGTATTTGGGCCCTAAAACCCTATTATTTGGGTCCTTGGACCCTTAGGGCTTTGATTCTGGCCATTGTAGTTGCGCCTGAAATGTTTGCTGCGGAGTCCTAGTTCCTGGACACGAAGCCCTCCTACGTGAGCCATAGTCTAAACTCCTTAAAGGGTTATACAGGGGATTATGTAGGGAAGGTTTAGGGGATTTAGGGTTTTAGGGTTTAGGGTTTAGGGTTTTAATTAACGCGGATACTGGGATTTTAGACTATAGCTCATGTAGTGCGATTTGCTTGGGGCCTGAGCCACTGCCAACAGAACAGGCCCACCCACCCAAAAACAAGGAACCCACCTTTACTCAGAGGGCTCAAAAGGTGGGGTAAAGGAAGGTGGGGGATAGGAAATAGTAATTGCCAATATAGTAGAGAGTATATACTAGGGATCCTGTAACCCACCCACCTTCATCCCACCTTTTGAGCCCCCTGAAATTTACTTGCTGGTGGTTAGGAGGGAAAAGCGGAATGTAATCCCCATATAGCCTCTATTTAATGCATTCCCTTTTTCCCTACTGACCCCCAGTAAGTTAACGGTGGCCAAGGGCATGTAGGTGCCTTTTTGCGCTTCCATGCTAAGTAGGGGGGAGGGTACGGCTTAGAGTTGGGAGTCTGTGAAAGGCACGCGACCTGTGCTGAAGAGTTTAACAACTTTAGTGCTTTAGCACTTTGTAACTTTTGTGCTTCCATTATTAGGGAACTAAAGATTGAATTCTTGGTGGGGATTGAATCGACGGGCAAACAAGTGAAAATAGGGATCTGAGTTCCTTACCCGCTCGGCCTGCAAAGGGCTGAGTGAGCTGCACAGGCAGACCCTCAAAGCCTAGCCCCCATACCCTAAACTTAGCCAGAAAGAAACATGGTATATCACTGATTCCTAGAATGGGGGGAGATTTAAGAGATTGGGGTCCAGGGGAGAAGCCCTGTAGCTCAAAACATCCTGCGGGTCAGCGTTGTGTCTGGCAAGTGTTTCATCTTGCTTGACCTTAAGCCCTAAATCGTAACACCTACCCCCCTAAATCTTAAGAGCCAAACTCTAAATCCTGAATCCTAAACCCTTAACCCTGAACCCTTGACCCTTAACCTTGATTTTTTGAGAACTCTCGAAGTCCCGCTTATAGGCGCCGATGGAAAACATGTGTATAACTCTAATGAGAGTATCTTGGTAAGATTTACCCCGAGGGCCACTCATATACATATATATATATAGGGTCTAGGGATTAAGGCTTTGGTAGGCCTAACTCCCCCAAACTAGAACCCTTTTATTCGCCATCTGATAGTTCTAGGATTCTTTTCTGGTGGTGGGGGGTTGGGGCGGGCACAATCCTTTCATTAGCCAAAGTTACATGAAAGGCGATTGCCACCAGACTCAAAGCCTGCTGGGTACAATGAAGCCATGATTTTTAGGGTTTAGGGCTTAGGATTTCAGGGTTTAGGGTTATTTTACAATGGTCATGTCATAAAGCCCCCTATTCTACATATCCCTGGGATCCATGTAGCAAAAAGATGCAAGAAGAGGTCCCACAAATGGATAGCCTGAATGCCTGAACTGCTTGGTTGACCTTCTGCTGGCTTGAAGTTTAAGCATAGTGTGGCTTAAGAGCACGATTACAGGCATCGGTTCAATGTACAGCGTCCTCCTTGTGATTGTCACAGGTGCTAAGCCCCAAACCCCAAACCCTAAACCCTAAGCCCGTGAACCCGAAAGCTAAAGCCCATCATCATGAGTTTCTGGCACTGGTCTCTATGGGGCACCGTCACAGTTGCTTACCCTGAGCCCCAAACCCCTTGACAGTAATGTTCATACCTCCCTGGGTCTCTAAGGGCTCCGCATTTCGCGAAACCCTAAATCCTAAACCCAATGGCGGATAGAGTTTAGGATTGCAGGTTTGCGAAGGAAGAAACTCAGGAACCCAAAGCGCTTGATTAAGGAATCTATGTGGTTCAGGGTTTAGGGCTTAAGCTTTAGGGTTTGGGGATCTAGGATCCTTCACATACGTTAAGGTGTATGGTCCCCCTGAAGCAGATAGAATATGGTGTTGGGTATACTATAATAAGATCCCCATATATCCCATATTCTATCTACTTAAGGGGGACTATGTCCATTCAACAAAAAAACCTGGGACTTGTCTTGGGAAGTCGCTAAATGGCCTTCGTCGACGGCATCCCGGTGTAAGGGTTTAGTGTCTAGGGCAACCCCATATGAGCCATAGTCTAAACTCCAAGCATCCCCTTTAATAACCCCGAGGATAATCCTCCATAATCCCCTATATGACCCCTTTAAGGAGTTTAGACTATAGCTCACATGAGTTTCGCAGCTTGATAGGGGGAATGAGGGCAAGACCTGGCGTCATTCCAAAACATGGGCACTACTTGAAGGTCCGTGGTACCTTCTTGAACATTTGCACGGTTTAGGGTTTAGGGCTCAGGACGAGGGGTACAACTAGACCGATGTACTGCATAACCTGGATCTTCCAGTAAGCTCGAATCCCATCCCCGACGTCCAAGATCAATATCCTAAACCCTAAACCACCCAATCCTCAAGCCCAAACCGCAAATCTCAGCAAGCCAAACAGTTAAAGGTTGAAAGCATTGAATTTGAGTGTGGATAAGTATAGTAGTTTCCATTTTCTTTTCCATTATCCCAATACAACCCCTATATAACCCCAATATACTGTAGTAGCTTCCATTTTATTTTCCAGTATACCATTATAACCCCTATAAACTCCGCTCCATGCTCCGTGGCCCCAAGCATAGCCCCTCCAGCCTTCGAAGGCCTCTGAGGGGTACCCCTCCCCCACCCAGGGCTTTAGGGTTTAGGGTTTAGGGCTTCCATTTGCTTTTCCATTATCCTTATACCCTAAACCCTATTTCTAAACCTGGTTTAGGGGCATGATTTATGGGCTACCATAGAGACAGGCCATGGATGAGCTCGGCGTCTACTTCGGCGTGTTTGACGGACATGGGGGCGCGCAGGTCAAGGGAACCAAGGGGTTCCCCCACAGAGGAGGTCTACCTTTCCTCCGGGGGCCCTGAGATGTAATCAGGGTTATAAGCCTTAGGGTAGTTTAGGGTGGCTGGATCCCAGACAGGCACCAACGATCATGCAAAACTCCCACAAATTTCATGAACTTTGCACCACAATGTCATAGAGATAGGTTTTCAAGACCACGTTTTGTTTTTTTCTTCTTTTCGCGGCCCTTGAGATGCACCAATGTTTTTTCTCCTACATTCTGCCGCGGGACTTAATGTGCCCTCATCAGAAGTTTAGGTGTTCAGGTCAAGGAAGGGCCTACTTTACTGACCCACTAATAGTGGATAGTAGGAATATAGTAAAAATAGGAGCCGAAACAGACGTAGCGTTGTCTTCTGTGGTCACGATGAGTGGGTCAGGGGGACCCTCTGATTTACACATCTCCATGTTGCTAATGTCATGGGGTTCACGGAACATCCCCATACTGACCCCCAAGCTCCCCCCCTAGTCAGGCTTAATTAGCCCTAATTAGGCCGTATCCCTCAATAAGCCCGATGAAGGGGGAACGCGGTACAGGAGGGATGTTTAGGACAAAGAAAAAAGAATAGCAGCGTATGATAATTCAGTGGCAGTTCGAAGTCTGCCAGTTTTGTGTGCACTCGGTTTGCGTTTCAACTTGGGGTTTCAGTTGGGGACAGCGCACGTCCTTCCAACCCCCCTCAACCCTGGCATAGTCCAGTTGCATGCTAGTTGTTGACAAGTCTGGTTTCTTTCCAGGCTCTATGACAAAAAATGACAAACACAACATGAGCTAGAGTCTAAGCTCCTTAAAGGGGGTAACATAGGGGATAACGTAGGGGACCATATTAGAGGCTATTAACGGACGTAGTAGGAGTTTAGACAATGGCTCACGTGCTGCCACCACAACATCCTACAATTTGGGCTTACATGGCGTTATTTCTGACAGCTAGGCTTGACTTCATAAGCAGCTCACAAACCCCAAGGGTCCAAGGATCCGAATAATGGTGTTGTAGGGTTCAGATACTATAATATTAATGGTATTTGGGCCCTACTTTCAGGGTGTAGGGTTTTCATTCTATAGCACGGAAGTTTGAGTGGTCAGGGTACAAGCCGGCGCCAAACAGGGTCCCTAGACTTAGCCCATTCTGGCCAGAAACGGGTTCAGGTTTTCGGGCGCCTAAGTTAATTCAATAGGTTTACGCGGCGTATGATAGATATGTAAGGAAGTACAACAATACGGATTCTAGTCTCTGGGATTTGTATTCTTGAGGCCCTTAGTTTTGTAGATTCCCAAATTTGTGATTGTCGAACTTGTTATTATGCCCCACGGTAGATGCCAAACAGACCCCAAGTATTGGGAAGATCCCCCTTCTACAGGAATTTTAGGTTCAAGCTACTCTAAAACCAAAATCCAAACCTTAAATCTGAATTAGCTCTCATGCCCTGCAACAACAAGCCCCCAATCCTAGTTGGCATAAGAAAGAGGTCTCGGAGATAGCTGCGAAGACCTTGCACCGGAACATCCTGGCGTGTTTCCGGCAAAAGGTGGCTCGGGAAGCGACAGTGGAGGTGATCTGCTCTTCAGTACCCTAAACCCTAGTTGGAAGTTGATCTAAATTTCCCTTTGGTAATCATTTACGTATCCCGTAGGTCTATACAGTAGTAAGGAAAATGTAGGGGACATGTTTGTTCCTAAACCCTAAACCTCGAACCCCAGACCGTACAATTTTTTGGGGGAGCAGAAATTTTGACAAATTATGATTTGCAGTCCTTAGAGGTCTGATGCATTCTGGGGTTACTTAGGTCTGGGCGGGGGGGGGCTTTTCAGCTCAATAGTTTGCAATTTTTCAGATTTACGGAAGTTTGAGAACCCGAAGTAATGGTAAGCCTACATGGGCTTGAGGTTTTAAGGTTTAGGGTTTAGCAGGTCGGGTAAGATTGCAATGTAGGGGATACTGTTCCCTAGGTATTCCCGAGATAAAGTTCTGTTGCCTCCAACCCTGAACCCCATCCCCTAGGTAGTCCTAGATGAAGTTCTATTGTCCCTGACCCTAATGTTGCCACAACCCTGGAACCTACAACGTAGGTAACTGCGTTTCTACGGATTACTGCCAGTCACGGATCTATAGTTCCCTGCAAGTAGATAGAATATGGGGGATATGGGGATCTTAGTGTAATATACCCAAGGCCATATTCTATCTACTTAAGCGGGACTATATACCGGATATGTGTTGGAGATTGTTGTTGATGATTCGGGGAGGGTTCAGAATGATCTCTATAGACCATCCTGAAGGAGACCCCAATGGCTTTCTTGTGTTATCCATACACCTGGAAGGTGCTTACATTACCCCTGGTTTCAGAAACTCCATTCTTGTTTAGCTTTTTGGCTGCGGGGCGATTTTACTTGTAATGAGGGTTCTGAGGCGAGAAGTCTCGGGGCCAGAGTTTGGAGAAGAGGATGCGGAGTCCATGGGAATGTAGACCTGTGATTAGTAAACCTCCTCCGTTTAAGGGCCTTGATATTAATGTAGACCCCTGATTAATAACCCCCCTGCCCTTAATAGGGTTATAATAGGGATCCTAATATTTACGCCCTTAAATGGAGGGGTGTTTATGAATCAAGGGTCTACACTTGGATCTCTATATGTTTCCTATCAAGTGGAGAGGGTTTATTAATCATGGGTCTACATTAAGGCGACTATGCGTAAGTCTTTAGAGCAGAGTTTTCGTGCTGCATGAGGCCATTGACGTTGACGCATCTCGTAGCCCTTTATATCCTTCATCTGGGTTTAGGCCTTCACCCACCCTGCACCCTAAACCCTAAACTCTAACCCTCATTGGGGTAATCATCAGAATGCACAGGGTCCCTAAGTGTACTTACTATCATCCTTGGTGGGTTTAGGGTTTAGGGGGCCAAAGCAAACCTGTGATCATCGACAGGAAGTTCATTGCGATCAGGGTTTACGGTTCAGGGTTTGCGTCAACGTCTTGGTGCTCGGATCCTGGATCACATCCCAAAAAAAGGAGACAGAAAGAATGACATCCCCAAACGCCAAACCCTAAAACCTAAGTTAAGTAGGTAATCTTGCCCCTTTTGCGGCGCAGATTATCATCCTATCTGGTTATTACTCACGGAAGATCGGCGCCTAGGGAAAGGGGTCTACATCAAGCTATGAGCGACATACTGGAGTTGATAAAGTCATGGAAATGCGGCCCTTCTTCTGGGAGTCCAATCCCTAAACCCTAAACCCGTCCTCGAGGCTAGGGGCTTGGGGCTTAGGCTTTATTCCGGATTGCCTAACCACCCCCCTTCCATACTACCTCCCCTTTCAAGGTTCCCCGTTAATTAGGCTTTTTCAGTAAGCTTGCCCTAAATCCCTGAAGGGAGCAGCATGGGTGGCTGGTTACAAGACCCAAATGTTTAGAGCTGAGGCATACTCTCACAAGAGTATCCTACACCGTAGACCAAGCTAGGGCTTAGGGTTTAGGGGTTTCAGAGGTTTAGGGTTTCTGGTGTAGGGGTTAAGGACTTGAGGTTGTGCTAGACAAGACCACGCGGTCAGACATGAGTCTCTCCTGGAGCACCCCACACTTCTTAGGGGTCGTACTGAAACGGGAAACCCGAAACAATGCTGAAAAAGTCGCACATGTAGAGGAGGCAAGCTCATTGAGGTGCAACATACAATTCCTCGAAAGGAGTGGGAAGAAAGAATTTAGTGGTGCTTAAACGGGGGTGGAGTGGGGTCCAGGATAAGCGTTATACAATCCCAAACGGTAGTACCTTGATTAATTCCCTTCCATATTAAGGAGCTATTGCTATAGGGAGGATTGACCTAACCCCTTGTGTAGTTGCTGCATGAGTTCCCACACTCCCCTTCAAGCAGCGGTTAGAGAACCTTCAACCAGCCAGGGCAAAAAGATAGCCCTTCAGCTACACGAAAACGGATTTTCATTCATTGCACTCAGCACAGAGTAGATAAGTTCATGCGGGGCTCAGGGGTGATGGTACTTGTTGCCTCTGTTTTTCCTTTCTGAGCCATCAAAGTTCATGTCATGTTAAGCCCCTCCCCCCCTCCCGTCGCCCCTCTCCCCCGCCTTCCAAGTGCACAGCCCTAGGCCGTAAACCTCAAGCCCGAAACATTCTAAACCCAATGAATCCTAAACTTACATCTCACAGGAGAAGCATGAGACTTAACAGGACTATACCCCAGCATTTTTTTGACATTCTGATAGCAATATGTACTTTGAAGTCTAGCAAGTTTGGGCTCATGTTCTAGGGCTTGAGGTTTAGAGTTTAGTATTCAGGATTAAGGGTTAGTGTCCTAAACCCTAAACCCTAAACCCTATCCTACAGTAATTAAGGCCGTACAGCCTGCATCTCGGGACGAGAAGATCAAGATACTCGGCCATGATTAAGAAAACTTACTGCGCAGTTAGGGTTTCGAAGTTTGGGGTTTAAGATTTAGGGTCCGAAATCACGGGTGTATAGGGGTTATTTAAGGATAATGGGAAAGAAGATGGAAGCTACTATTTAGGGGTGTCGGGGTTTGGGGTTTGGGGCTTTCCAGTTATTGGCCTACGTGATGGGGTGTCTTCTGTAAGAATTGTATCCTTGCCTTTTTAACTTAAGACATCTTACCACACAGGGGGGTTCTCCAATTATGGGTCGATTTGGGTGGGGTGGGTTTAGGGTTTAGGGTTATTCAGGGATTTGGGGGGTGTCTTCCGCATGGTCGAGGTGGATGGACAAATAGGTGCCTCTTGCAGTTTAGAATAGGGCCTAATCTAATTCCAAATGAGGCACCCATGTCCATTCCTTACGTAGGAAATATTGACTGTAGCTCATGTGATCTTGAAGGGTGCTCCCCACAGTCTCCTTAGAAACCCTATCCTTGCCCGCCCTTGTCACTAACCCTAAAACTGGTGGACAAAATCCTGCCTGACATTCCATAGACTTGAGCACGTTACTTCCCAAGGCCAAGGTCCCTCAACGCTAAACTTGACAAGGCTTGACCGTGTGGAGTGGCTCTACAATCCTTAAAGAATATTATTGTATAGGGGATTATATTGAGCAGCTTTTTTTTTAATAGGGGTTGTGAATGGGGAGACACAGCTCATATTAATAATTCTTAGTATAGCAGCCCTACTTGGTACCATGTGGATAATTAAAAATCCTTTGGGAAAGGATAAAGCCAGCTTTCTTGGTTCTTGCTGTGCTACATGACCTGGCCGATGATATCGTGGTGCGAAGGACGACTGTTGCGACATGTGGGGGTTCTCAACACAGGATTCTCTTGAGGGCCCTAGGCATGTATTGGGCTTACAAATTGAATGCTGGGGGCCACGCACAAGGACTCTACGGTGTACTCTTGATAGCCTCCTGCAGATGCCGCAGTTTTCAAAACTTGTGCCTCTGGAGCTCAACATCAGCAAATCCGCTGTCTTCAGCGGTAAGCTTGCGTCTGTGTTAGTCAGTTGAAAAGCCGACACTACGTAGAAGTCGTTAAGTTGGGCGAAGTATCTATTGAGGGTCTAGGCTTCAGGTTTTTGAAGGCAGGGTCTAACATTACTCTGTCGCCTACGCCTGGAACCCTTGAACTCCTGAACCCCAAATCCTGCAATACCTAAAGCAAAACCCTGCGCGTTTGTGTCTTCTGAAGCATAGCGCCCCTACAACGCCCAAAGTGCCCTAAATCCCAGTGAACCCTGGAGGCCCTAAACCCGTAGCCCTATACCCTACAAATGCACCCTAAATCCCAGTGAACCCTGGAGGCCCTAAACCCGTAGCCCTACACCCAACAAATGCACCCTGAAGCCCTCTGAGCTGTATAAGCTGCATAGGCCCTAGACCCTAAACATCAACACGGACGTTGCGTGTAAAATCCAAGGTTGGCCGTACGGGAGGCATTTGCCCAAACCGACCGGGACATCTTAGCCCTCTCCGAGAGGCTCGGGGTAGGGGGGAGGCATATTTCTATAGAGGTATATGTGGTATATAGGGTTTAGGGTTGAGAGTTTAAGGTTTGGGATTTAGGGTTGAAGGTTTGAGGGTTTAGGATTCTGGGGTTAATGATGGAATTATGAAAGATCAAATGGAAAGCACCATGGAAATAGGGTTGCTGGGGAAGGGGCCGCGGTCTGAGGATGCAGAGCCTAGAGAGTTTAGGGGGATTAGGGTGTAGCAGTTCCCTAAAGCCTAAACCAGGGGCCTATCGGGATGAAGTTTCTAGGATTTGGGTGTAGGCCAGTTAAGAAGTTGAGATGGTTCTGAAGTGATGCTAACTCGTTGTAACTTCATCATCATGAACAGCCAGGCTGAATTAATGGAGGAATAAGCCCTAAACCCCAAACCTTAAACAACCTAAGGATTTAGGGGTAGGATTTGAAGTGGCGGTGGAGGATGGGGGCTGGCAAGGCTTCAGTGTGGGGAGGGGAGACTTTAGGATTTAGGGTCTAGGGTTCAGGCTTGGCTAAAGGGTTTAGGGTTTAGGGTTGAGGGTTCAGGTTTAGGGTTAAGGGGTTTCGGGGTTTAGGGGTTAAGGGCATAGGGTTCGGTTTCAGGGTTGTGGGATCTTGCACATGATTTGACCGAAAGCATGGATGGCCGGGTAGTGCTGGAGTGTGCAGATTCAGCGCGTCATTGTTGAGTTGCTCTATGACTCTACTAATCCTTAAACCCCGACAACGAGCAGCATTTAGTCTTAACCATTATAGTTCCCCTTAAGTAGATAGACTATGGGGTATATGGGGATCTTATTATAATATATCCGAAGCCATATTCTATCTACTTAAGGGGGGCTATATCCCAACCATAAGGACTATGAAGCATTAGCTTTACTGCGTCCTTATAGTTCCTCGCTTCAATTATATGATGGGCTTTGCTACCCCCAACCTTCACAATATCCATATGATGGCTATAGGATCCTAATTTTCGGGCTTGGGTGAGCACAATCTGCTGATTATTCTCTCTTAGCTCGGGCTACAGACCCTTTTCGATGAATTCCGAGTTTGTTGAATGCTCTTTAAAATCCTTTCAACCAAAGTTGCATGGAAGAACCCTTACCCCTACATCGCAAAGCTTACAATGAAGCCCATACATGCTCCTTATAAACCCCCCCACCCACAGGTCAGGCAGCCGTGGCATTAGGATCAGCTACCAAATCTCGAGCCTAGAGTTCTGAAGGGCCGTAGCTAGCTGGGTATACTTCTGAACCAATCATTATGGGACCATATGCCATCCGGGCCCAAGCATACAGCAGGGTTTAGGAAGCTAATAGGGATTATAGGACTTAATAAGGCCCAGTAGGATTCTAAGTCTGGATGGGGTATGATTGTAAGCCCTAAATCATGGAAGACGCGAAGCAAAGAGTCGAAAGGATTACCGTCCTTTCCTATAAGGAGGTTTCGTGCGGTTTTACTGTATTTTAGCTTGTGCTATTATGGTTCCCAACATGGCTAAGGATCATATCCTCTTTTTGGCTATAGCGTCATTTGATTGAATACGTTCTTACTAGGTTCTGCATTTGGAAACACGTTACTGATAAACCTGGAACATCCGCCACAGTTGATTGGAGTTTCTTGCAGGGTTTAGGGGTTAGGGCTTAGTATAGTTTAGGGAGCTAAGGTACGGTTGATATTAAATGGCCCAAAACTCCCACGTTGATCTACCCCCCCCCCCCCCCCCGAATACACCACCCGTTTGCAGGACTACTCAACACATAGCCGTGTATTCGATTCCTGGGGAACATGTGTCAATCATTGGGGGTGGGGTTTTCATACGCCGGCATACTGCCACTCAAACCTAACCTCGTCAATGCAGTTTTTATGGAGCCCCGACTGTTCCCAGAGCATCCATCAAAATAGATCCCTATAATCTGCCCATGCCGCGTCCAAATACTTTCGCAGAACGTCATTTTTGCCAGAAGTACTTTTGCATGAACCCACTTGGGCCCACATTGTCTGCCATTTGAGTATTTGGAACCATAGGGTCCCCCAACCGTATACCTCTTCCTTGAAGGAAGAAATTTGACTCCTCCGGCGCTACTGCCGTTTGTGCGATGCTGCATGGCAACCCAAAACTGGGCTCCTTGGCGGGTATCCCTAAACCCTAAACCCATTTGGTCCAGGGTTTAGGATTTAGGGATGCTGGAGGTCTTGGTGGGTGTAACTTCAAAGAGGGCAAGAGGGGGTTTCCAGAAGCGGCCCTTTTCGGGGCTCCACAAAACGAGTATTATAATATGTTGGGGTCTATGGTCCCCCTTAGGTAGATAGAACATGGCTTTGGGTATATTATAATAAGATCCCCATATACCTCATATTCTATCTACTTAAGGGGGACTATACTCTGAGGCCCAATTAATTATGGCAACTCCTATATACAGCCCTAGAGCCCAGTGACCTACACGGCCGCTCCCTAGAAGTTTATACACAGGGATTCACGACCAGTAACCTATTTGTTAGGTAACCGGGCTGCTATCGAAAAGGTTGAAACCCTAAACCCCAAGGTTCAAAGTTCATGGTTGGAAGGTTCAAGTGCACGAGTTGATGGAGTGCGACTGGGGCATCTAAGCATCCGCCCCCTCTGCTTTCCTTCGGGGATGCAGGAGAGCTTGCAGTAGGGTTTAGGGTTTAGGGTTTAGGGTTTAGATTCTGTTGGCTCTTATAGCCCAGAAGAAGAATTAGAGGCTTTAGGATAATCTACTGTAAGTTCTACTGTAAGTACTTTTGTTGATTCATGGTTTCCACCGAAGAAGAGGCCATGTTTGTCGACCCTATGAACCATTAACCTTTTGTGAAGCTGTTTACAAGACATACCCTAAACCCTAAACCCTAAATACACCTCAGGACCCAGACTAGAGGCCGCAGGTCCACAATGGTTTACGGGTGCATCTACAAGTTCCCAAAAAACATTGTAATCCCTTTACACGCTTCAATCTTCAAGAGCATACAGCCTCTGTAAAGCCTAAATCCTAAATCCTGAGCCCTATAAGTCCTAAATCCTAGACCCCAAGCCCTAAACCCTAAATCCTAAACCCTGCAACCTTTTACAAGCTTGACGCCGCCCAAAGGTACTGCGCTGCGGCTGGTGCCTCCCTTTGCAGTGCAGCGGTTTTAGGGTTTAGGTTAGGGTTTTGGGCTTAGGTATTGCGGTAGGGAGTTTAGGGTTTAGGGCTTAGGAATTGGGGTATAGAGTTTGGAGTTCAGGGTTTCGGAATTGGGGGAGGCAATTTAGGGTTTAGGGTTTAGGAATGGGGGTATGGGGCTTAGGGTTTGGGGTTTAAGAATTCGGGTATGGAGTTTCGGGTTTAGGGTCCAGGAAATGGAGTTTGGAGCCTGGGATTTCGGAACTGGGGTGGGGAGTTTAGGATTTAGGGTTCAGGAACTGATGGAGTGTGGAGTTTAGGGCTTAGGATGTCAGAGTCGGGGTAGGGAGTTTAGGGGTTAGCGCCTAGGAATTTGGTTATGGAGTTTGGAGTTCAGGGTTTCGGAACTGGTGTAGGGAGTTTAGGGTTTAGGGTTCAGGAATCAATGGAGTATGGAGTTTAGGGTTCAGGGCCTGGGAATTTGGCTATGGAGTTTGGAGTTCAACGTTTCGGAATTGGAGTAGGGAGTTTATGGTTTTGGGTGTAGGAAATAGGGTATGGAGTTTGGAGGTCAGGGTTTCAGAATTGGGGGAGGTCAGGGTTTCGGAACTGGGCTAGGGGTAGGGAGTTTAGAGGCTAGGGTTTAGGATTTGAGCTTGGGGTCAAATATTGGTGGGCTTAGGGCTTTAGGGCTTAGGGATTAGCTTTGGCGTTGAGAGTTTTTAGAGTTTATGGCTTAGGGTGCATACGGGTTCCTTGCGCTGTTTACGCGCGTGTCCCTGTAGATCCTATGATCTTACTGCGGTTCCAACAGGATTCCTAGGGCCGAGTTATCCTTCAGCCATCGACTTCGGAGTTTTGTAGCCATACGGGTACTTATATTACACTGGGAAATATTTATATGGCCTATTCCCATGAGGCCCCATGTACATGCTAAAACCCTAGGGATCCAAATAGCCCAATGTAGGTAATATTTATAGACCTTAGGGCCCAATGTAGGTGTTAGTTGTATACTTGGATCCCTTCAAAGACTTTAAGTTTGTACCCTTAATGTTTGTACCCCTAAGTTTTGGGTCCCAAATACCCTTATTGAGGGCCATACTCCGTAATTTAGGGACCCAAAACCCAAGG